TCTGAGAGCATTTCTCTGTGCAACAATCCCTCCTCTGCATAATGTACACTGACTAGACTTCAACTTCTGGGGTCTCTACAGTGTCTGATCAAGAAGATGGGTGACTTACTTGAAGTATCGGATCCTTTGAGGGGTGTCTTATCGTGGTTTAATAAGGATCAGGATAAACAAATAGGCTGAACAGATGTTTATTCAGGGAGAAATAACTTACAATCTAGACAGATGAACACCAGCAAGTTCCACCGGATGCTCTCCTCTCCGCGCCCAGTCAGCCAGACAGCGTTCCCAGGCTCCTCCTCAGACCTAGTTCCACAGGTCACTTCCGCCCCTGGCTCCACCCCCCAATGGATGTGGTCAGTGCCACAGAAGCAGACAAAGTGAATATCCCACTACAGTGTCTTATTGCCCCCTGGGAACTGGATGACCTGGGACAGGGCCAAAACATTGGCTATCCTTTTACCTTCTCTATCCTCATTGGCTTCAGTGTCTCAGCAAGGTTGTTAACCACCCAGATGGTCAGAAACAACAGTCCTTAAAAAACTTGTAAGGAATTGTCTCAGTTAGGGTTTCTATGAAGAGACACCATGACCATGCAACACTTATACATGAAAACATTTAATTGGGGCTTGCTTATAGTTTCAGAGGTTTAGTCCATTAATGTCATGGTGGGACGTGGCAGCCTGCAGGCAGGCATGGTGCTGGAGAAGGATCTGAGAATTCTATATATTAATCTGCAGGCAACAAGGAGTACACTGAGACACACTATGCATAGCTTAAGCACAAGAGCCCTCAAAGCCCACCTGCACAGTGGCACACTTCCTCCAACAAGTCCACACCTACTCCAACAAAACCACACCTCCTAATAGTGCTACTCCCATGGGGGACCATTTTCCTTCAAGCCACCATAGAAACTTAAAAGAAAAAAGATTTATTTTTTATGTGTGTGCTTATGCCTGTATGTGGGTTATGTGAAGGAGCTTTAAGTTCTCAGAAGCCTTCTGCTCTTGCTCCCAAGATGGAAATATGAAAGGAGACACCTTCATGATCTGGGACTGTACCTCACATCCTCCCAACTTCACAGTTACAAAAACGCCATAAATCTCACCAATGTGACTACTTAAACATGAGCTGAACAAGGACAACCACATGCAGAATTAACATGGGCAGGGAAAATCCCATGAGACCTCAATCCTACCCAAAGACTACGGGAAACTAAAGAAAGATGAGAATGAAGAAAACACTCTTCCCCGGGGAGTAACACACCAATTTTATGTATGTAAAAAAAACAATCATTAATGAAAAAGGAGGCCATGAATTTGAAAGAGAGCAAAGAATTTGAAAGAGAATGCAAAGGATTGGTGAGGGGAAGGGGCATGACATAATCTCAAAGAGTAAAAGAAAGAAGTTTTAAAAGATTTCAGCAAATTACTATAAAAGCAACAAGATGACAGGAAATAATACACACTGTTCAATAATAGTTCTTAATATTAATGGTTCTCAACTCTCTAAAAGACACAGAACTAACTAACACATTGGGCTAAAAAAAAAACAAAAAAAAAACAAAAAAAAAAAAAAAAAAAAAAAAAAAAAAAAAGAACAGGATCTTTTTGCTGCCTCCAAGAAACACCTCACACCATCAACGATAGTTACCATTTTAGGGTAAAAGGATGAAAAAAGGTATTCCAAGTCAATAGAACTAAGAAACAAGGAGGCATGGCTATTAATATCTGACCAATTACATTTCAAAACAAAATAGTCAGTAGAGGTAGGAGGGAACTCCTTACTCATTATTGCAATCCTAAACATATACACACCAATTACAGGAGCACTCAATGTCATAAAAGAAATACAACACAGCGATAGTAGGTTTTTCAAGGCCCCACTCTCACCAATATACAGGTCATCCAGAAGAACAGAAATAAATAAACCCTGGAGTTAAATTAAAACACAACTCAAATAGACCTAACACATCTACAGTATATACAGTGCACATGCTTGATCTTCTTGGCAGCCCATGGAAATTTCCCCAACCTAAACTACATATTAGGACACAAAGGAATCCTCACCAAATGCGGGAAAATTGAAATCATATTCTACATTCCATCTGACTGCAATGGGGCAAAGCTGGATGTGAGTAAACAAACTCATGGAGACTGAGCAACATGCTATTGAGTGATAATTAGGCTGAGAATGAAAATCAAGAAGGAAATTTTTTAAAATTCCAGAACTGAATGAAAATGAAAACACAACCTAACAATGTGTATGGGACACAATGAAAGCAACCCTAGAGGAAAGGTCATAGGATGTGTGCCAAGATTGAAAAATTCAAGAGCTCAAAAATTAACAACTTAATGATTGATACACCTGAAGGCCTCAGAAAAACAAGAACAAATGTCCAAAAAAAAGAAAAAAAAATGAGGATGGGAAGAGATAATCAAAATCAGAGCTGAAATTAAGGAAATAGAAATGGAAAAAATAAAACCACACACACAAAGAATGAATGGGATAAGAGCTGATTCTTTGAAAAAATTAACAAAGTTGACTTTTAACTAAATTAACCCTTAGAGAATGTCCAAATGAGTAAGTTTAGAGATCAAAACGGAGAGATTACAACATACACTGAAGAAATTTACTACTTTTAATGCAAAAGATCAAGAGTGTGTATGGTATATCCTGTAGATGTTTTAGGTCTATTTGAGTTATGATTTCATTTAACTCCAGAGTTTCTGTTTATTCTCAAAGACATTCAGATGAAAAAGATCTGCCATGTGGATGGATAGTCCGGCTGTTTGAAACCCTGGTGAACATCTATTTGGTTTAGTTAAAGAAACACTTCAATGCTGGACGGTGGTGGCACTCACCTTTAATCCCAGTACTCAGGAGGCAGATTCAGGCAGAGTTCAAGGTCAGCCTGATCTACAAAGTTACACCAAGAAACCCTGCCTCAAAAAATAAATGAAAGAAACACTTCATTATTATATATACCCCCAAAAGTGGATGTGTTGGTATGTACCTGTAACGCTAGTACTCAGCAGATAGATGAAGAGGAATGAGAAGTTCAAGGTTGCCTTTGGCTGCACAGGTTACCTGGTTACAAGGTTATCCTGGGCTGAGAATCTGTCTCAGAAATAAAACAAGCAAACAAAACAGACAGATAGAACCCAACTTTGTAACTCTGTAACTCCTGTCTATTGCTGTTGTACAAAAGCACTACTTCTAATGGAATAATATAGATAATATAAATAGAATATAACCCACAGGACAGACAAAATTTAACTCAAGAAAGGACTCTAACTGAGGCTGACCTAAGAGCATCCTAAACTACTTGTTGGCATAAAAGGGAGTTTTAGTGACACTGACTCTTTAATATCTGTCACATCCTTTCTTAGGGTTTCTATTGCTGTGATTTAAAAAAAAGAAAAGAAAGAACAGCTTTGGGGAGGAAAAGGTTACAACTCTCAGGTCTTACTTCCATCACTGAGAGAAGTCAGGGCAGGAACCTGAAGTCGGAGCTGAAGCAGAAGCCATGGAAGAATGCTGCTTGCTGGCTTGCTCCTCATGCTCCACCAGCCTGCTTCTTATAAAACTCAGGACCCCCACAGTAAGCTGAGCCCTCCCATATTAATCATTAATCAAGAAAAGGCCTTATGGAGATTCCCACAGACAATCTGATGGAGGCATTTTATCAGTTGAGGTTCCTCTAGTTTGTGTAAAGGTGACATCATCATCATCACAATAATAATCCTCAACCAGGACACTCTCCAGTGTGGGGTAAGAACAAGCCAACAAGGACAGATCTAGAAACACAGACTGGCCAAATAAACCACTGGTTAACCAGTGATGTCTTCAAAGGAAGTTGTTCAAAGCCCAGGGAGAAAGCTATCAGAATGAAATCAATTTACACTGGGCATGGTGGTACCTGCCTGGGATCCGGGAAGTTGGGTGACTACAGCTAGAAGATGAGGTTGAGACTAGCCTGGACTTCATTGCAAAACCCTATTTCAAAGCCAGCAACAAAAATAGTCACTCATGCCAACCCTTCAGAAAACAACTAAGACCAAGAGGTTGTAGGTGGGAAAATGATTCTTATGCATGGTTATCAGACATTAATTTAATACATGCTGACCTTGGCTCCCACTTCTATTCTGTTTATATTTGTTTCAGAAACTGGCATAGTTCAGATTTTTGTTTGTTTTTTGAGACATGGTTTTACTGTGTAGCCCTACCTGTTCTGGAATCCACTTTGTAGACAAGGCTGGCCTCAAACTCACAGAATTCTATCTGCCTCTACCTCCCAAGTGCTAGTATTAAAGGCATGTACCACCACCACTTGGCTATATTTCTGAAAATGTTCTAGCAAATCCAACATATCACCCTAATTCAACTGTCTAAAACTAAAGAGGAAAAATTTAACTGCTCTGGTAAGAGAGGAAATAGTCTGGAGAGTTACTTGTGCCCCCCCCCCTTTGGCCATCGGACTACATGTAAATGGTCCATATGGCCCTTCACATAAATAAAGCCCAGGAATTAAATCTTTAAATAACATCATATTCAAAGGGTCCACACTTGGGAGGCAGAGCAAAAGCTGCCCCCCAGGATTTCTTCTAGATACAGTTTTATAAAGAACCAAAGCAATGACAACAAAGTTCAGACGTAGCCTTCTGTCCAGACGGACCTAGTCTCTGAGAGGTCCCTGCCCCCATCATCGTCTTTTCTAAGTTGTACTGCCATCAATTGGTAGAGATGTGGATGGCATTTTGACACTTGATTTCCCAGCCGGGCCCTGAGGGTACCTTCATGCGTACATGTAGGGCTTTCTTTGGCTTGTCCCTACTGCCCCTTCACATGGAGGTTTGACAACAACCCATCTGCAGATCTCTTCTTCCACAGCCCTTAGTCAAGCCAGACCCTGGGATACGGGCTGCACCTCTAATGCACCCTTCTGCCAGATGCATGCCAAAGGGAAATGCCTACTGGAATCTGCTCTCCTAATTCTCCACTCCCTATCCTTGTAGATGACCTCTTCATATATAACCACCACCACCATCACAGCACCTCTCTCCGGAAGCCTGCAGAATAGGTGGGAGAAGCAGAAGACAGTGCCCTTGTACTGGGAAGAAGACATCCGTCCCGAAATGAAAGAAGATATATACGACCCCAGCTACCAGGATGAAGAGGGGCCCCCGCCCAAGCTGGAGTACGTCTGGAGAAACATCATCCTCATGGCCCTGCTGCACTTGGGGGCCCTGTATGGGGTCATACTGGTTCCGTCCTGCAAGATCTATACCTGCCTCTTCGGTAAGCAGCTCCCTTCGTCTTGGGCCAGTACCTCTGGTTTCTCTTTGCTTTTTAATGAGGTATCTCTGACCCAAGGCAGTGAGTGGCCCCTCTGTCCAGATTTCTCAGGTCCTGGGAGCAGAGCCTTGTGGGACTGGGCATCCCTTAACATGAATTCTGGGTCCCTGTGCAGGGGGGCTTGGAGGGGTCTACCTAAGGCAGAGAAGCAACTTTCTCTAAACAAGCTTGTCTGTGTGAGTCACTTGCTCAGCTGCTTACTCCAGGCCCACGTGACTCAGGAGCAACGTGCCCTACCTGGGAGGCATGGGAATCAGGGCTAAATCTGAGGCCTTGTGGGTTACTGGTCTGTCAGAGCCAGGAACAGAGCCCGGAAAGGCTGCACTGGAGAGGTCCTTGAAAAGGAAAAGGGGGTGGTATTTACACAACTCTTCTGACCTCAACCCCTGACCAGATCAAGCTGGTTTGCTCTAGAGGAAGGTGATGTAGGCTTCTACAACACCCAAATATACAGGTGTGTGACTCAGCCACTCCAGGTCATTCTCCAGGGAGCAGCACCTGCCAGAGGCTGGAGATCATCCGAGGCCTCATCCTGGTTCAGAAGAATATGGCCAGCACTTTCCTGAGGATAGATGCTATCTCCGTGGTTGTCCTGGGGATCCTGTGGAAGGAATAGGATGGGACACAGGAGGCAAGAGAGGAGGAAAGAGGCCACTTAGAAAATGTTTACCTCTTGATGCAGAAGGACACATGGCAACTTGTACAATGTTTTGTGTCCCCAGTCTTGGCTAAGTTCTGTAGCATCTGAGGTTCTGTGGTTTCCACATGTCTTCTTGGGTATCTTACACTGCTTCTAACAAGACCTCAGCCCCATGTCCTAGTGCTACAATCAGAGGAACAGACAGGTACAGTGTCCTCTCCCAGTAGAGAGCCTATATGGTACCTCCTGATCTTGTAGATTCTAAGTTAGGATGCTCTGTTATTAGGAGATGAATGGTATAGCTAGAACTGAAACAGATTCTTGATAAAAAACCTACTTCCAAACCATGAGTCCACTTTTACCTCTCCCATGACCCTGGAAAAACACTTAGCTTTTAACTTCATCTACATACTCACCCAAAGAGGCATCTCTGATGACATGGAGTACCCAAGTATAGAGCCCTTCCAGCTCTGCTCTTGAGGGAATAGCTGTTTCACCGTTAAGTCTTTATGTCACCTCACACACGGTATTACTAGACTCCAACCCATTAGGATGGGCAGTGACTATGATAATGTTAACGGTCAGTAAAGCTTGAGCCTCCATGTACATGTGACTCTGTGCAGGATGGGCTTGTCCTGAGACCTGCTACAGTGCTGAGATGTTGTAGACAACAGGCGAACAGGCTCTGTATCCCATGAGTGTCCCCTTCAACCGAGAGCTCTAATTGCCGTTTTCCAAATGTTCTTGATAATGGGTGTTTAGATCAGGAGGAGGAATCAATGGCCTTGAATCCCTTGGAGAAAGGATCTGAAGGGCAAAGTGCCTGGGAAAATGTTCTGAAGGTCTGAAAATGACAACCTACCTTCCTTCCGGCGTCATCCTGCCTTTCTGCCCACTTTGTGCCTGGGTCTGGTTCTTCATGACTCATACCTGTTCCTAGATGGAGTGGTTTGAGGTGATTATGATCTTTTGAGGTGGCAAATGCTATGATGTCTCAGACACCAATGCACATACTCCTTCAAACCCAGAGAAGCATACTGTGGTATCAGGAGTGTTTGGATTTGCTTCTCCTGGTTGCACTTACCAGTTAGCTGACCCCAGCTGTTGTCCCAGCAGCATTTGTCTACTATGTGATCAGTATTGAAGGCATTGGAGCTGGAGTTCATCGCCTGTGGAGTCACCGAACTTACAAGGCTCGGCTGCCGCTGCGACTCTTTCTCATCGTGGCCAACACCATGGCTTTCCAGGTGAGCAGCTGGTGCTGTTCATTCTTGTGACTCTGCTGTAGGGGATGATCAGGGGCAGAGTGGAGAATGGCAGCACCCAGAGAGGTAGTCTTTGGTAGTCCTCTCAAGTGCATGCTTGGTACTGGGCTCCCCACTACACGGGACACCTCAGAGTCACTGGGGAGGGAAACAGGAAGTAGAACAGGCTCTCCAACATAACCATTATCACATAGTATGGCTGTTGTGGTCCTTTGGTGTAAAGGACCTTAGAGCAACCTCATCAGGACATGATTATGGTTTCCTAAATACACAATCAACAAAAATTCATGCTTTGCTCTGCCTGTCTTAGGACCCTACTATAATGGGATTGGAGTGAATGTGTCACAGACTCAAGAACTCTCTTGTTTCAGATAAGTGTAGTGATATATTCACTTTGTCCGCACCTGTGGCACTGACCACGCCCATTGGGGGTGAGGACAGGGGCAGATGTTACCTGGGGGAACTAAGTCTGAGGAAGGGGCTTGGGGAGTTCTCTCTTGCTTGCTGCACGGGGACAGAAGAGCATCCGGAGGTATCTTTGGGATCAGAAACCTGCTGGTGTTCATCTGTCTATGTTGTAAGTTATTTCTCCCTGAAATAAGCATCTATTCAGCCTATTTGTTTCTCCTGATCCTTATTAAACCCACAACAAATAAGAGCAAACATGTCTGTAGTCCCATGTGCTGGACACTGTGCCAGCATTTGACACAGGTTAACTCCTTTAGTCCTCACAACCACACCAGGAGGCAGGCCTTATTATTCTACCCACTGAACAGATGAGGAAACTGAGTCACTGTGCTATTTCATAAGCTTACCTTACTGTTCTGTCGAGGGCTAGCATGATGGGTAGGTCAAACACTGATGGTGGTTTGTAATGGATACATTTGTAATGGATAGATTTAGGAAATAGGGAAGGGGGACTCACCTAGCCATGGGCTGTTGCTTATAGTGTAGGACTTGACTTGGGTGATGAGGAAAAAGTACCAGGAAATGGATTAGTTATTTTGCCTTGATGATATCTGAGGTTCTTATCACATGTGTGTAATCACCTGATAACTTACATGGTGAAGGCTCTCAGTTTCTGTCTTTGGAGGACAAAGAGAAAGAAGAGAAACATTGGCACAATCTTGAAGAGATGGATAAGTTCAGAAAAGCTCCGAGGCCTTTCAGAAATGTGCTCAGGCTCATTGGTTACTTGTTGGTCCGGTTGAGTTGAGTGACATGCCACTTGTAGGCATTGACATGGAGTTTTTGCACCTTTACCACAGAGCAGAACCTTGGAGCCCAAGGCCTTCTGCTTGATAATTTCTCTGGATCAGACATCTCAAGAGGAAATCTGTCTCCTGTTACTTGTTTGAAGAGTCACCATGTCCTCTGCTAACGAAACTCCCTGAGCATTAAACTCACCTCCTGTTTCCCACCGTGCAACCCTGAGAAGCAACTCTGGGTCTTCAATTTGCTTCTCTACATAAGCTTTGGGGGCAAGTTGCTGGAGGGGGTGCTCCCCCAGGCCCCCTTAGCAGTCAGAGTCCAAAACTCTGTGAGTTGGACTGACACCTAGGCTCTTGCATTCCCCCAGAGGGCTTCTCTTCTCAATCCTGGGGTCCTCTTTCCTGTCCCTCCAGAATGACGTGTATGAATGGGCCCGAGACCACCGAGCCCACCACAAGTTCACAGAAACACACGCTGACCCTCACAATTCGCGGCGTGGCTTTTTCTTCTCTCATGTGGGCTGGCTGCTTGTGCGCAAACACCCGGCTGTCAAAGAGAAGGGCGGAAAACTGGACATGTCTGACCTAAAAGCCGAGAAGCTGGTCATGTTCCAGAGGAGGTGAGTCGGGGAGATGGATATTGGGAGGTAGGGTTTCAAGAGCAACATATTTCTCTTAGCACTTAGAATAACTGAATGAATTTCTAGATTCATATGACCAAAATCATGAGTTCAGCCAAGCGTGGTGATGCAGGCCTGTGATCCCCGCACCAGAGAGACAGAGACAGAAGGATCTCTGTGAGTTCCAAGTCACCCAGAGCTACATAATGAGACTGTCTCAGAAACAAAGCTACCCTGGGGACTGAAGAGGTGACTTAGCAGTTAAGAGCACTTCTTATTCTCCCAGGGGACCCTAGTTCAGATTCCAGAACCCACATTACTCCTACAACTGTAGCTCTAAAGAATCTGGCAGGGTGTCCTTCACAGACACACGTGCACATGTGGCATATACTCACACAGACATACACACATACACATAATTTTTAAAAACCTTTTTTCAAAAAAGCTGATTGGCCAGATGTGGTGGCACACATGTCTTTAGTCTTAGCACTGGGGAGACAGAAGCAAATGGATCTCTGAGTTTGAAGCCAGCATGATCTACAAAGTGAGTTCCAAGACAGCCAGAGCAACATAGTGAGACCCTGTTTAAATAAATAAATAAATAAATAATCATTTCAAACCCAAGTTTTTAATTGCTTGGATGTCCACAGTTGTGGGGTGTTGCTCTGTTGCTTTCTTTCTGGACTCTTTTCATTGAACCAATGAAATGCAGCAAATATTCACTGACCTAGCATAGCCACAGACACAATTCAACTGTGGCCTTACATTTCCAGAGTTTTTAGCATATAGATTGGAGGAATCATATACTTACCAAGTTACCACCAAGCAAGGCAAAATACTGTTGTAGGTGAGAGGCAGAAAGGGCCAGAGATAGCTCAGGGTGAACAAAAAGGGTTGAAGAAAATTTAGCACCAGAAACAATGGAAAGACCATGCCCTGCACATTTGTGTATAGACAGAAAGTACAAAAATGAGCTAAAGCCTTATGCATGATCCACAAACATAGTCTGTTTCCTTGACCTGTAAGGTATGAATGGAAAAAAGATGACAAACAGACCGATGTCATGAGTGTCTTAGACACAAATGGGATTGACACAGTTGGCAATAAGGAGCTTGTTTTTCCAACAGCAAGTGGCACAGTCAGAGCTGGACTTTGAAGGGGAGGTCAGGGGAGGTCAGAGGAGGTCAGAGGAGGTCAGGGGAGGTCAGAGGGGGTCAGGGGAGGTCAGAGGGGGTCAGGGAAGGTCAGGAGATGTCAAGGGAAGTCAAAGGAGGTCAGGGGAGGTCAGAGGGGTTCAGGGGATGTCAGGGGAGGTCAGAGGGGGTCAGGGGAGGTCAGGGGGGGTCAGGAGAAGTCAGAGGAGGGCAGGGGAGGGCAGGGGAGGGCAGGTCAGATCAGAGAAGTTCAGAGGAGGTCAGGGGAGGTCAGAGGAGGTTAGGGGAGGGCAGGGGAGGGCAGGGGAGGGCAGGAGGGCAGGGGAAGTCAGGGGAGAGCAGGGAAGGGCAGGGGAGGGTCGGGGAGGGCAGATGAAGAAGATATTGAGCCTGAGAGGTGAGGAAAGGACACAAGTTAGACTAGAGAGGACTCAGGTTAGGGAAGAGGAGAAAGAATGGAAAAGCTGGATTCAGGCACACCCGTGACTGCAAAGTTGAAGACGGGACTGCTGAAGAAAGACCAGTCAGTTCTCTCAGGAAATCAGTGGTTCAGTCTGTGTGGAAATGAGATTGGGGCAAGACCTGTAAAGGGACAGACCCTGCAGGTGATCGAGGGAGGACATCCATTATGCTTGTTAGAGCTTTTGCAAAGCGAGGGCCTTGAGGAAGGAAGTTAGCAGGAAGTGGAGATACATCAAAGACCCTGACAGGAGACAAAGCGGGGCTCAGGGGCAGATGGAAAACAGACCAGACATCCTACAGATTCAGGATGTGGTTTGGCCCTGATTTGTTAGGTAACTGGCCTCATCCCTCTACAAATAAGAACAATAGAGACCTTGTTCCATTGACAACTGGTGGGATTAGTTTAGGGCAGTCTCAGCTCAACATAGATTTATCTTGAAAATGGTAATAATACTCTGTACTGAAAAGATTTTCCACCCCCTTTTTTTCTTGATGGGCTCCCACCCAACACCTGCACTCATGGTGTAAGAGGAAAGGTAACAGCCCCCCCCCCATTGAGAAAGGCCAATCCTCTCTTCTTACTCAGTGTGCAATCTCTCCACGTAGGTACTACAAGCCCGGCATCCTGTTGATGTGTTTCATCCTGCCCACGCTGGTGCCCTGGTATTGCTGGGGTGAAACTTTCCTGAACAGCTTGTGCGTTAGCACCTTCTTGCGATATGCGACAGTACTCAATGTCACCTGGCTGGTGAACAGCGCTGCCCATCTCTATGGTTATCGCCCTTATGACAAGAACATTGATCCCAGGGAGAACACCCTGGTTTCCCTGGGATGTCTGGGTAAGTCAGCAGTCTATACCATTAGCACATTCAGTGGTCTCTTTTAGGTTTCAAACCTGAAACAAATTGCTGAGGTGTCTCTTTAACATATCACATGGCCACCAGGTTGTCCCTGCATCCCTCAGACCCTGCTTGCTACAGACCCACACCCCCACCCCTGCTCGGCACATCCCATTCCCTACCCTGAACTCTCCAGCCCAGGGTGCTGGGCCCCTCTTCCCTACATAATCTAATAATTTTCGTTCCCCTCTCTCCCTTGACCCTTCCCCTCCCCCTTCTCACAGCTCAGTCTAGTCCCATCCACTCTGGGCTCTCCCAGATGTCCTGGCCTCTGGGTTTGCTCTCCCATATAGCTACGCTAACCCTCCATCACTGCTGCCATAACTAGGAGGAGTCAAGTTCTCTTCTCTTCCTTTTCTTTTTCTTGTTCTATCCCATCTCCTTATTGGTGAGCTGTAAGGAAGATGTGAGGCATCTGTTTTTACAAGCACTGGGTGTCTCACATCTCTCACTGTAAAACTAGGGGTTGTGATATCGGGGAAAACATGAGAGCCAGGGAACATGTTTATGTAAAAAGGGCAAGGATTAAAAAAAAATTACTGCCTTTGATTGGAACAAACAAACCTCTAACTATCCCAGCTCAGTTTCTCTAGTCATCTCTGATTCATTTCTCTGGGCTGGGCTATTCCTGCCTGGGTCAGGAGACTCAACAATAGCAATAGCATCAATGGAGACTACAATGAGCCTAGTGTGTCATGACTAGCCATGCTATATAAAGAAAAGGAAGATCATGACTTTGTCCGTTGGACTTAAAAGTGTGCCGTTCTCAGAGAGGGCTCACTTCCCTAGTGTGTTTCACGGACTGCCATCACCCCCATCCAAGTTGCAGACACCACCGCCGCCACCATGGCTGTTCTTCCATTCACCATTGTTTAAGGAAATCTTATTTTAGATTCACTTTTAGACCGTCATAGAAATGGAACCCTGTGGACTGAGATATATTCTATAGATGAAACTGTAATGAACTTTCCCAGCTTCAGCCTCTCCATGACATGGCTGTTGTAAGGGACAGCCAGCACCTTGCCTTGTCCCTATTGTCATTTCTCCTCCATCCCTCATCTTCTGCTTTCCCATTTCCTCCCATTCCAATCTCAATTCCTTCTTCCTTTCCTCTCCTTTCCCTTTCTCTCCTCCCCCTCTCTCCCTTTTGCCTTTATTCCAATCCTCCTGAGTACTAGGATCTACACTTGCAGCCCTGTGCAAATGCTCCCTCACTGAACTGTGTTCCAAGCCTTATTTGTACTTTTCTACATTGTGAGTCAAGAGCTCCCTATGTAGTCTAGGCTGGCTTTGCGCTCACTCTGTAGCTCAGGTTGACCTTGATTTCTACCAATGAGCTATTTGCCCAGCTGGGTCCTCCCATCCCACTCAGAAATATGATTTTTCTAATTCATCCTGGTCAGACTTGAACTTTATCTCCTGGTTCAGCCTCTAGGAAGCTGGGATCACAGCCAGTGCCAAATAACAATACATAAATCTAGACCCAGCCAGTAACAATGTATACATCCAGACCCAGCTGGTAACAATGTATAAACCCAGACCCAGCCGGTAACAATGTATAAATCCAGACCCAGCCGGTAACAATGTATAAATCCAGACCCAGCCAGTAACAATGTATAAATCCAGACCCAGCTGGTAACAATGTATAAATCCAGACCCCCAGTGCCAAGTAACAATGTATAAATCCTGACTCCATAGTCAAGGATTTACCTGTGTTGTTGTATTTCATGATAAATCTTTCTATAAAACTTAGCACTTTACATGTAGATGTTATCTAATCTGCATTCCCACATATTTTTGTCTATGTACATAGAAGTTATAAAAGGAAGTTAGTTCTTTTTTTTTTTTTTTTTTTTTTTTTTTTTTTTGCTGTCCTAAAACTCACTCTGTAGAACTGGTTGGCCTTGAACTCAGAGATCTGCCTGCCTCTGCCTCCCAAGTGCTGGGATTAAAGGTATGTGCCACCACTGCCAAGTGATTTTTATACCTCTTGAAGCCACAGTTCATATTTCTTTCAATATATTAGTACAAATATTCAGTTAAATACCCAGTGTCATGCAAATAACATATTTTCATCCAAATCAGGGATTTTACAAAAATCAAGTTCTCTAGAGTAATAGGCACTGCCTATAAACAAAAAGGCCAAGAATCCAGTACTTGCCCAGCCCAGAGGCCAGATATCTCAGCTCGTCTTCCTTATAGCCAGAATCCCAAACAAGTGGGCATGTGAAGGGTCAGTCTTGCTATTGAGGGAGAGTGAGAGCAAGCAGCAAGGTTGAGAAAAGAGAGAAAAGCTTTTTTCCTCCATGTTCTTTCCTAGGCTTCCAACGGAAGGTGTGACCCAGGTAGAGGTGTGTCTTCCCACTTCAAAGATCTGGACTAAAAGTAGATCTTCCAGCTTCAATGATTTAGTTATGCAAAAAAAAAAAAAAAAATTCCCTTACTGGCTAGGCCGTGGTGGTGCAGGCCTTTAATCCCAGCACTCGGGAGGCAGAGGCAGAGGCAGGTGGATCTCTGTGAGTCTGAGGTCAGCCTGGTCTACAGAGTGAGTTCCAGGACAGGCTCCAAAGCTACACAGAGAAATTTTGTCTCAAAAAAACAATCAATCAATTAGTTAATAAATAAAAATCCCTCTCTGGTATGCCCCGTCATTTGTCGGATCTCTGAAGTTGAGGCCAGCCTAGTCTACAATGGAGCTCCAGGACAGTCATGGCTACACAGAGAAACTCTGTCTCACCCCCCTCACCCCAAGAACAGCCATCACGCCATCACAGTGAATGTGGCTGTGTGGCTGATGGGGAAGTTAGTATGTGCCACAGCGCATGTGTGGTGATATCACAAAGTATAATTTTGTACAGTCGATTCTGTCCCTCCACCTTTATGTGGGGTCTTTGTATCAATCTTGGTTTGCCAGGCTGGCTCCTACAGTTTGTGTTTCTTGCAATATGTTTATGTAAATATTTTATTAACTATTTAGTTTTATTTCCTATAAAAGTACCCGATTGTTATTCAAAAAAATCAGAAATTTCAGAAAAAAATTAAATAGCAGATGATACGAAAAACCTTTATTAAAGGGGTTCTATTTCATCAGGACCAAAGCCCTACACCGGGGCCACTGTGTCACTGTGTGACAGCCACTGTGTACCAGCAATGGCTGAGAGAAACGCCACCCTGGCTGAGTACTGGCTCCCTGACTTTTAGCTTCTGTTGCCTTTTCTGCAGTAGCTACCCACACTTACAGGGAACACCAGCACCATGGGGGAAGGTGTGCTGCCTGCTCTCCTTTGAAAGAAACAGAAACACCGATCTTCCACAGGACTCTCCCCCTCTTGATTAAACATACACAGTCCAGGAGCCTACAGCATCTCAGAGCATACTGACATTTCGGCATTTTCCGATGTAAAATATTCTCCCAGAATAATCAAACTCTTACCCTGTTAGCCTTGGAGACACATTTTCTTTCTGCATCCTTCCAAATAATAAGGACAACCAGGGCTTCTCAACTCACTGCTTCAGAGTAGAAGGCGGTGGGTTAACCATTCATTGAACAACAACAGAGTGTTCTCTTACCCACTGGGTGTGAGGTGCGCAAAGAGGAGGAGGCAGCAGTCACCGCGCCCCTAACGGCTCTCCTTGCTTCTGTTCCAGGCGAGGGCTTCCACAACTACCACCACGCCTTCCCCTATGACTACTCCGCCAGTGAGTACCGCTGGCACATCAACTTCACCACGTTCTTCATCGACTGCATGGCTGCCCTAGGCCTGGCTTACGACCGGAAAAGAGTATCTAAGGCTGCTCTCTTGGCCAGGATTAAAAGAACTGGAGATGGGAGCCACAAGAGTGGCTGAGTCTGTTGTTGTCTTCATTTCTATTCCCAAAGTCAGCTGAACAGAGGTTTAATAATGTTGCTTAAATACTGGAAAACACCATCCATGTTCTAACGAGTCTCATTTCAAGACTGTATTCTTGTAAAATATTCAAATATTAAATAAAAAGCAAAGCTCTCTTTTATGATCTTAGCAGCTATTTTCCCATCCTCAGTCTTCTGTTCCAAGGGTCTTTTTTATTGCCTAGTCCTTCTTACCTCCCTCTTCTTACTTTATCATCTTCCCGGTGAGCTGCAGGGGAGCAATAGGTTGGAAGACCTCTTGGGAAGCTCAGCATATATATCTGCAGGCCAGAAGAGGGCGCCAGATCTCATTACAGGTGTTTGTGAGTCACCTTGTGGTTACTGGGAGTTGAATTCAGAACTGAGCCATCTCTCCAGCCCCAAAGAGAACAAGAAAAAGAGATACCTTAATAGAGAGAGCCATTACAGGTTTAAAGAGAAATCTGGCACTAGGGAAATGTCCAGAGAGCCACAAGGATGACCCCAACTAAGAATTTAAGCAATAGTGGAGAGGCTACCTTAAATGCCCTTCCCCTATATTGAGATTGATGACTACCTTAAATGCCATCCTAGAGCCTTCATTCAGTAGCTGATGGAAGCAGAATCCTCAGAGATCCACAGCTGAGCCCTGAACCAAACTTCTGGAATTCAGTTACAGAGAGGGAGGAAGGATGAGCAAAGGGGTCAAGACCAGTCTGGAGAAACCCACAGAAACAGCTGACCTGAGCAAGTGGGAGCCAGTGGACCCCAGACTGATAATTGGGAAACCAGCATAGGACCAAACTAGGAAGCCTGGGCAGTCTATAGGGCCTCTGGCAGTGGAACCCTAGTGCACTTTATCCCTAGTGCATGAACGGACTTTAGGAACCCATTCCCCATGGAGGGATACTCTCTTAGCTTAGATACATGGGGGGAGGGCCTAGGCCCTGCCCCAAGTGACTTGATAGACTTTGATGATCCCTCATGGAAGGCCTCACTCTCCCCTGGGGAGTGGATGGGGGATGAGATGGGGGGGTCAGTGGGGGGCTTGGGAAGACAGGAGGGAGAGGGAACTGGGATTGATATGTAAAATAATAGTTTCTAATTTAAATAAAATTTATTTTAAAAAAGGAAAGCTTGGTAAATGCTTTAAAGAACACCGCAAATAGCACTCTTGCCTTAATCTCTCTTGAGCTTCAAGGTAGGTGTCTAAGCTAAAACTGCAACCAGATCCTCCTGGACATTGTCTATTAACGACAATCAGGCCATGGAAAAGATAAAAGCAGCCACACACACACACACAAAGAATACACACACACCACCCAAGACAGCAAAAACAAACAAACAAACAAACAAAGCACACACACAAACAAACCTTCCTTGGCACAGAGCTTGCATTGAGGTAAACTATCAGGGGAGAGTTAGCACGCTGGATATGGGCCTTAAGAGGGGATGGTGTTACATGGAAGGAGTTATAAAGTTCTTTCTGTGATTGGACCCAGCTTCTTCCCAAGCAGAGTTCTCGCTAGTGCGTGCATACACACACACACACACACACACACACACACACACACACACACACAGTGTCCTGAGTCCCAGCGCTTGACAAGGAAATTCTTCCCATTTCAGACAGAGCTAGAGAGGCTGAGGGATGGTGTCAGTGGGCAGCTGCTCAGAGATAACTTTTGAGGAAAGGCTGTTTGGATTGAAGACTTTCTGAGTGGCTGACTCAATGTCCTGAAACAGTTTCAAAGCAGGGTCCCTTTATTGGTCCAAGTTGCTCGTTGGATTGATAAAATCCAGGCATCCCTCCACAGTGTTTTGTTCCTTGCCTCATTCCTTCCTGTTAAGTTTTATGCTTGTGACTATCCTAGGTCAGTGAATATGCAGGCTGCTAGTGAAGAGTTTCCATCAAAGTCTTCCTGAGCTGTGGACCCTGAATTCAACAAACTGACCGGCCAAGCAGTGTGTTCACCACTACAATAGCAGCAAGTCTGTTGGGGGTAACAATGGCTTCCTGTGTGGATTTGAGACCCACTCATTGGAAACGATTCACCATCAAAAAGCCGTGGCTGAGGAGCAGGGAGATGGTTCAGAGGATAAAGGATCTTTCTGTGAAAGCCTGATGGCCTAAGGTCAACCCCAGAGACCATGTAAAAAGCTGAACAAAGTGGTACATTTCTGTAGTCCCAGCGCTCCCATGGAGAGGCAGGAACACAGAAAGGAGAATTCCCTCAAAGCTTGCCAGCCAGCTAGCTGGAAGTAGCTTGGCAAGAGAGACCCTGCCTTCAGAAGAGGGTTGATGAGCTGGCTCCCAAACGTTGTCCTGTGGCCTGCATGTGTACCCGACACATACACATATTATACACACGCAAATAATGATAGTAATTTTTAATTAACTTTTTTTAAGTCTATAGCTCTGGAGTTCACAGGCCTTAGTAAGGAAGCTACCATTGTTGTTTTCCTAAACAGACATAATGCATCCATCAAATTACCTTATGAACAACTATGGTTTTGCTCAGCTTTGGTCAGAGAAGGTTCTGTTTGTCGTCAGAGACCCTCTTTGTGTAAGGACTGAGAATATGTGCTCAGTCCTGAATCCAACATCCACACCAGCTTTTCCAAAGCTTCGGGACTAGTACAGAAGAGCAGCAGGAAGAACATTAGCGCCCGAGAGAAGGCTGCAATGGAACAGAACCCTGCTTTCCAGGCATGGCATAGCGCTTGTACTCTTGAACTTAGAGCAGTTGCGATTAACTCAAAAGATCTACCCAAGACTGGGCCTGCCACCATCACATCATGCCTGGGAGTGGGGCTCATGAGAGAGGGAGAGAGAGAGAGAGAGAGAGCTTGTCTCCCTTCCTCCCTCCCTTCTTCCCTCTATCTCTTTCTTGGTGTAGGTAGCCACTGGTAGAGTGTCCACACTTCTGGAAACAAACCTGTTACCATGATCATGTAATTCTAGTGAAATTTGTTGACTATATGAAAATAAAAATGAAAGTAAAAGACATGGAAATAGAAGGGGGCACTGGAGAGATGGCTTAAGTGGTTGAGAACACCACTGCTCTTCCAAAGGACTTAGGTTCCATTCCCAGAACCCATATAGCAGCTCATGCTGTAACTTCAGTCCCAGAGAGTCTGGTGCCCTCTTCTGGCCTATCTAGGTACTGCACAAATGTACACATACCATGCAAGCAAAACACCATACATACATAAATAAATACTTGTTTAAAGACTTGAAGGTAGGAGACTAGTTGGGAAGATAAAGGGACTGAATAAGAAAAAGAGCAGAACAAGACAGGGTAACAGAGGCCACAGGGAAACACACACAAAGTCTGGCATGAGTGTCTTCCCATAGATGATCCAGTAGCTTTCTAAGTTACCTTCCTCAAAGGACATAACTTACAACAAAGCTTGAAGACCAAGTGAGGCTTACATTTTTAAATGTGGTTTAAATTCCATGAGCTTGTTTATTTTCCTTATCTTAGAGAATCTTCTTTTGCAAATGGAACTGTAGGGTGGTCTCATGAGGCACGATGTTTTGATTTAGGGATAAGGCAGAAGTGCCAAGCCACAAGGTCACAAGCACTCTGGCCTTAAAAGAGTAGGTCTGTTGTTATGACATTGATGTCTGAGGTGTCCTGTAGAAAAGAGCATGAACAGGCAACTCTAGCTTATTGCTTGTTATGTTGAAGATTCTTGACTCACAGTGAGAAAGGCTTTCCCTTCTGTGTCCCCATAATGTGACATGCTCTACTTTACCGTGTCTTCCCTGCTATGATGGACCTCAGCCTCTGAAACTTCGAGTCCCGATCAATCCTTCCTCCATCAAGATGTTTCTAACGAAGTTGAGTTCTTTATTTGTTCAAATCAGTGAAGAAGTAGTTATTACAGAAACTTTTGCTTGCTTGCTTGCTTGCTTGCTTGCTTGAGACAGGGTCTCACTATGTATCTCAGGCTGGTCTTGAACTCACAGAGACCCATCGTCTCTGCTTCCCGAGTGCTTGGATTCATTAGAGTATGTTAACACTAAACCACAGCTGAGTTTGAACCGGCCTGACATTTGCTTGACTCTTTTCCAACAGTCCACCCTCTTACTTTCTCAGCTTCTCAAGGACACCTTCCTCTGCTGGAAAGCCTCCCTGTGCCTAGACAGTCAGTGCACAACACAGTGAAGACATCTCAGGGGTGTTTGGGTCTATCTCCACTACAGAACTTGGCAAATGCCACATGAGTGTGAGGCCATATGAGCGTAAGTCCAGTCTTGTGAGATATATTAACATTCTGCGATGTGGGCAAAGACTTATTTTGCTCACTGAATGTGGCACAAGGGTTTCTGATAATAACCACAAGGCACAAGAAATGCAGTATACCTTAGAGTTGCTGGAAACAAAAAGAACTTCCTCCTTGGGACACAGCTCTGTCCCACCCCACTACCCTCCCCAGGGTTCTCCACCCAAGCTATAAAGGAGCAAGTGGGCTGTGGGGATTCGTGGTAATTACGTGAGGGCCTGCTCAAAAATCCCAAAGGGGTATTCATTCTGGACCACTTCTTATAGGAAGCAGTACTATTTAAGGTCAGGAAAAGGAAAGCGAGTTCTTTTACAATGCCAGCAGAGGGCGCAAGAATGCCCAAAGCGCCTCATTTCTTAGCAAACTCTAGATGACCTAGAAGACACCACCCCACTTACACACACACACACACACACACACACACACACACACACACACACACTCTTTTTCTTGATGTGGGTTTCCACAACACAAAATTAGCTATTTTGATGTGGACATTCTATACAGACTGTAACCATATCCCCATGCCACACTAGTCCTGGTGTACTTGAGTTTTCCACAATCTGCTGGTCTGGATACACTGGTGGGTACAGTCAGTGAGCGATTGACAATCAGGTCAGAAACACACACTACTGGGATCCTAGGAGTTTTATCTTAGCAAGTTTCTTTCCTCCATCTTCCTTAAGACTTTGGTACAAGCTTTGGCAACTGCAAATCATTTAATTTTCTTCTAAAGTAAAAATGGGGGTGGGAGGAAGGTGGAGCAATGGCTCAGTGGTTAAAAGCACTGGCTACTCTTCCTGAGGTCCTGAGTTCAATTCCCAGCAACCACATGGTGGGATCTGGTGCCCTCTCGGGCATAAGGTTGTACGTGCCAGATAGAGCACCCATATACATCAAATAAATCTTTTAAAAAGTAAAGTACAAATGAGAAAATTAAAGCAAACCAGTCTATGGTATTTTGTACATTCACACTGTTGTGCAGCCAACACACCTAGTTTCAAGGAGGCACTACACCACCCAAACCCTGACCCTTCTCCCACTTTCCAAGCCCTTCCCCACCCCGGCAACAACTGATTTCTTTTTCTCTTGGTTTCCTGTAATAGTTCACAGAAACAGAATCATATGATGTGTGAGCTCTACATCTGGCTTTCTTTCAGTGTGTTTTGCACATCTGTTGACAACATAGCACAAATTTGCACTTGATTCTTTATATTTCTTATTAGCATCCCATTGTGTATGAATAGAACAATCTGTTCATTTCTCAGTGTTACCTAAGCCACACTAGCTGGCCTGCGAACTCCTGGGCATTCATCAGTCCCTCCTCCCCTAGCCCACTGTAAGAGCCCCACAATTAGAGATGGGCACTACTACATCTAGTTTTACCTAGGTTCTGGGATTTGAAGTCAGGACCTCAGGCCTATGGGGACAGGACTTGATCCACTGAGACACCTCCCCAGCACAGTTGAACAGTCGTCTTTCCCGAGTTAACCGTTTTGCAACTAGGCTTGCATACATTCTAGCTGTTTTCTATGGACTGTAAGATGAACAGCCACAGCGGGAAAGTAGAACCACACTTTTGGTCAAGCTGTAAACAGGTCCATTTTCCTTCCCCAATGTCTATTTCCTAATTCCTTGGAAATGCAGGTGTATCCGTTTTTTTTCTCCTGGCTGTTAATAAAATACAATAGAAACTTAAGGAAGTTTTCCTTTTGGCTCACATGAGAAGGGAGGTGCCCCAGCTCCACCAGCAGGGACATGAGGTGACATTGTGTCAGTAGTCAGCCCAGCTGCCTGCGACCTCCTTTTGCCTTTTTTAATTCAGTCCAGACGCCACCCAGCGTGTGTCGAGATGCTACCCACATTCAGGGTGCCTCTCCCCCTCCTCAGTCGGCCCATTCGGACACACTCCAGAAGTATCTCTTTGGTGATTCTCAATCCAGGCAAACTGACCATTAAAATTAATCACAATGAGAACACTGAGGTTGCAAGTTGATGGGCCCTGTCTGTGTGCCAGGCGGCAGACACTGCTATGCACGGTTACTGAAGTCTCTGCTTCCAACTGACTTGGGTGTGTAAGAGGGGTGGAGCTGTGTGCTCTTAACGATAATTCTTCAACCCTTCTGGGGTCACCGACCAGCTTGCCACAGTGTCTGAACCACTCTCCATCCCCACCAGCAGGATTCAAGCACACCCCTGACTTGTAGTCGAAACTGTCCCAGGACGGGTCTCCAGGCTCCTTACCCATCAAGTACGGGCTAGGAGAAGTCGCCTAGCCTTTTCCCGTTTGAAGCTGTTTACAGGAGGTGGCAGCCTGTCCTCCAGAGTCCCTAAGGCACACTCGCCACATCCACTCGTGGATCTCCATAAACTTCTTTCTTAAAGCCCTCCCCTGGACCTCACACAGAACCCCACTTAACTGCTACAAAGCTGGGACCCGGGGCAGGAGAAAGGACCAGCTGTCCTCAAACGCAGTCGCGGGTGCTTGCTCAGGCACACGAAGCCCCGCCCCCGCTCCCACGCCCCGTCTCTGCCCAGGCAGGCCAGCCCGCCGGGAGCCGAACGCCGCCGGAGACAAAGGGAGAGGCGTGCGGCTCCTCCCCGGGGTTACTCTCGGTCAGCACCCGCCCCCAAGGTTACTCCCGTTCACTCGGCCCACAACACCCGACCCCGAGCAGCCAATCAGCAGCCGCGCTGCGGCTCAGCCCGTGCCCGCTCCAATCAGGAGGCGCCGCCCCTTGCAGCCTGCACCGCGAAGTTGCCATTGTAGATGGAGGCTGGAAGAGCTGCCCAGGGTAGCTGCTTCTCTTGTCTGTGGGAGAGAAACGCGGAGCAGTGGGCTCCAAACCGCCAAGCCTGTCATGAAGCACAGGGCCATAGGGTTGGGCTTCAGCAGCTCGGGCATCAGCCTCACGTTTCTTCTCTGAATTCCTACTTCTACCATGTACTGGCTGGTGTGACCCTGACCAAGCTATTTGATAACTCCACTTGACACCTTAAAAACGGAATTATGGAGTAGCCACCTCAGAGGGTGAGGCGTCAACAAAATGAATCTCTCAGGGATCATTCCATTTCTGTTCTCTATTCTTATTCCATAGCATGTCTCCCGTCTGCTGCTGGGTATAAATGTCTGTGGGCTTCCTGCCTCTTTTACACAAAACACCTCAAAATTCTACAGAGGGCAGGCATCAAGAATCTCTTAGAAGTCCCAGTATGAGCTGGGTGTGGTGGCACACGCCTTTAATTCCAGTACTCATTAGGTAGGGGTAGTGGACCCAGAGGGACCACCGCCCTGGCAGAGAGTCCTTACCCTGCAGAGCCTGCCCTTTAACTAAGTATGGGATGTGCAGCACACAGGGGTGTGTGTGTGTGTGTGTGTGTGTGTGTGTGTGTGTGTGTGTGTGTACAGCATTCAGAACTGGTGAGAAGCCCAGTGCCATTATTTTTTCCCTGAGCTTTCCTCTACAGATGAGGGCTACAACTGAGCCCTTGGTGGAAAAATCACAGCTGGGCAGATGTTGGCGTTGTGAGTGCTCATTGCTACCGTGGCTTCCTCCTATGTAATTGTCTCCATTGCCCAACCATTCACCATGAGCTGGGGTTTCCTAGGGCTTGAGTTGCTGAACTAGATAGTGTTTTCTCAAATGAGATCTCAGTGTTCCTGTGCCCACAGGAGAGGCCCAGTACACTGGAAGGAGACAAGGAGTGAAAAAGGGGGGTGGAGTGGTAACTTAGAGGACAGAAGATGGAGTGAGCCTGTCACAATGGCTGGGTAAGGTAACATCAATTAGTCTTTGACCAAGAGACCAGTGAGGAGGTCAGAAGTGTGAAATGCACTAACTTCTTTTTAAAAATTATTTTATTGTATGTGTATGTATGGGTATTTTGCCTATATGAATGTCCGGGCACCACATGAGTGCCTGGTACCCTCAGAGGCCAGAAGGGGGTGTAGAGTGCTTTGGAAATGGAGTTACAAACGGTTGTGAGCCACCATGTGGGCGTTGGGAATTGAACCTGGGATCTTTGGAAGAGCAGACAGCCAATGCTCGTAATCACTGAGCCGTGTCTTCAGCTCCACTAAACATTTTCTCGCGGGGAAAGACAACGACAGGATTTGGTGTCATAGTATGTTAAGATCACATGTGATGGTGTATGCAACATCATATTGCTCCGATTTGGCCAGGGCCTGTGTTTTTGTTCCCTGCATCCTCCTACCCTCGTCTTGCCTGAGGCTATGTAGGCCAGCTGCCTCTGCACACCTTGCCCCTTTTGGCAGTGGATAAAGGTGTATGAGGAAATAAAGAACTCGGCCATCCAGTGCCTTTAAATACACAGCTCTGGGCAACAGCCCACACAGAGAAGCTGAGCCCGGACAGCCCCTGTATATATACGACACAGGACAGGTTCTGAGTTTAGCACCTGACTTGCTTGCTACACAGCCCACACTCTGACGCAGAAATCCAGCTTCAGTCCTGGAATCCTACTCTGGTCTCAGCTCTGGTAAGTTCTGGGTATCTGAAAGCCAGCTTACTTGCAAAAAAAAAAAAAAAAAGGGGGGGGGGGATTTTCTACAAAGTAACTTCCCTGTTAGTGTACATAGGCTTAAAAAACATGGGACACCCCCCCCACACACACACATAGTAAACTATTATGTAACTGAGTACACGCTTACAGCAAGACTTGACATGCTGCTTAGTCGAGGTCTCTATGAACCAGATCACCTAAAGTCAGATAGACCAATGGTCAAGGTAATATTTGGGTTTGATAGGATAGATTGATATTTTATTCAAATATTAATTGTACAGCAACAGCCTGTGAAGTAAAAGAGATAGGCATGGGAAGGAGATGGGACCAAGAGTTTCATTGTGGTAAGGAGTTTTGTTCTGAGGCTTTGAGAACAGCTGTCCACAAACACAAACTTGCCACCTTTTTGTTTCACTGTATAATTAGAATGTCTTCTTATGTGTGAGATATTTTGGTGAATGCTGTGTGTGACCCACACATCAGGCAGGGGAGAGTTGTCCAGCTCTAGCCTGGGGGCTTCAGGGCCAGAGTAGTTCTCATTATTAGTGACTGGGTGAGACACCATTGAAATGGACACATCTGGAAATATTTGGGACCTATAAGAGGAAAACGAAGACGAGGGATGCAATCCGATGACAAAAGCACTGTGAAGCCCTCTCTCTGCTTTCCCACCGGCTCCCAGGTAATGGCACGGAGACTTGTTATTAATTGTGAAAGTTCCATCGTAACTTAGGCTTGTCCCACTAGCTCTTAGAACTTAAATTAACTCATTTATTTCAACCTACATTTTGTTACATGGCTCGGGTTACCTCGTCTCTCCCTACTGCTCACACCTTCCTCTGCATCTGTTTTTCTTCCTCCCCAAGTCCTCTCTGTCCCCAGAAGTCCCCTCTAACCTCTTCCTACCTAGCTATTAGCCATGCAGCTCTTTATTAAACCAATCACAGTGATACATCTCCACACAGTGTAAAGGGATATTCCACACAGAAGCATAATTTTACTCTCTATAGGCCACATTTCTACCAAAATGAGTTTAATATAATACAACTTTAAGATTTTGTGTTAAAGAAAAATAGTTAAGAAGGATTAAAAGTTCATTTATAAAATTTTTCTGTCCTGTATTTGTTTAATTAACTAATTTTAACTGCTCATGGAAAGGAAGGCTATTCATCACCCAAGTTGGGTTTTGTTGTTGCTTTTTGTTTTGTTTTGTTTTTTGAGACAGGGTTTCTCTGTGGCTTCGGAGACTGTCCTGGAACTAGCTCTGTAGACCAGGCTGGTCTCAAACTCACAGAGATCCGCCTGCATCTGCCTCCCGAGTGTTGGGATTAAAGGCATGAACCACCAATGCACGGCTCACTTGTTCTTGTTTAGGGGATGGAGTAGCTTTGCAACATCTTACTCCATAGTTCAGGTTGCCCAGGAGCTTGCATATAGGCCATCCTGGCTGTGAGGTCCCCATCATCCTGCCTCTGGCTTCATAGTGTAGAAATTACAGGTACAGCCAACAACTCCAGGCTTCGGTTATTTTATGACAGATCTGGGAATTACCATAAATATTGGTGCAAGGCCAGGTACTTCGGTTATTTTATGACAGATCTGGGAATTACCATAAATATTGGTGCAAGGCCAGGTAGCACTCATTTGAAATCCCAATACTCAGGAGGCTGGGATGGCAGGATTCTGATATGCTGGTCAGATAGATAACACAAGGCCTCATCTTAAAAACAATAATAATTCCTTGGGTCATATAATGCATAAGGTAAATGTAGCTACTTGTTCTCCTTTCTATTTCCATGACTAAGATATAGCAAGAAATTATTTTCACTGTGCAATCTGTTCTTAGCTGGTTTCATAGTTTGATGGGACTTCCCTTCCAACTAACCCTACTTAACCTGTGCTCGTACTCCATTCTTCACTGGAGAGTGCTGATTTCCCTTGTGCAACTCTCTACTGACTTTCCACTCCTTTTGTACAGATCGCCAGCTCCTACATGACCACCACGACCACCACCACCATCACAAAGCCCCTCTCTGTGGGGCTAAAGAATGAAGGGGAGAAATTAGAAAAGGTTCTCCAACAATGGGGAGAAGACATCCGTCCCGAAATGAAAGAAGATATACACGACCCCAGCTACCAGGATGAGGAGGGGCCCCCGCCCAAGCTGGAGTACGTCTGGAGAAACATCATCCTCATGGCCCTGCTGCACTTGGGGGCCCTGTATGGGATCACACTGGTTCCGTCCTGCAAGGTCTACACCTGGATCTTCGGTGAGCAGCTCCCCTTGTCTTGGGCCAATGCTCTTCATCTCTCTCTTATTCTTAATGAGGTCCACTCTGTCCCAGGTCAGCAGCCCTCTTCTGTATGGGATTCTCCTTCCTTTTCCCTTTGGTTTCCGAGGGATTGACTGGACTGGAAAAAAAAGCCTGGTTGGATTGGGATGCAAGAATGTCAGTTCTGGGAGTCCCTTAACATGGATGCTGAGTCCATGTGCATGGTGGCTTGGAGGAATAGACTTGAGACAAAGCAGCAACTGTCCCTGAACAAGTTTTTCTGTGTGAGTTCCTTGCTTGTCTGCCTGTCCTATCCCTGACTGCCACAAGAGAAGTAGGTACCCTCCTTAGGTACTGGCCCAGAGGCCTCATGGACTGTACTTTGAACCCAGTCAGCACAAAGCAAATGAAGATTGTACAGGGGAAAGCAGAGGAGAGTCATCCAGACAACTATTTGGACCTCACCCTCTGTCCAGATGAGGCTGGTTTGCCTGGGAGGAAGATGAAATGGGCTACCAAACAACTCAAGTACACAGGTGTATGGCTCCCCTATTCCATGTAGGTCTCCCGGGTGCAGCATATGCCAGCCAAGATGTTCTTAGAATGAAATAAGATTGCAGAAGCGTTTGATGCTCCATTCCCCATCCAGCCTGATGCTGCTCTGCTCATCTCATCTCTTCCAGTGCAATGGAGGCTGCACTGCCAAACACGTTTTCCCTGTCTTCAACACATAGTTCTTTAGCAGACATTATACCCTTCAGGCTGCTGGACTGAGAAAGTGTGTCCCTGGCCTGCCTTGGCTCAGGCTCTCTGGGATTCATGGGCCTGGGCTGATGGCAGTGCTACCCCTGATTACGTCTACAATGTCTACAGAAGTGCTTTGCAGCTGTTTTCCCTTGTGACCCCTGGGACCTGAACAGGAAGAGCGAGCAGGACCCGAATAGATGCAGGGGCTCTTGCTGCTCTGGCAAGTTCTCCTTGGGAAGAGGTTGTCTGGGGCAGCGTCAGGTGTGGGGACTTTCTGGGCATCCTCTCTTAAGGGTAGTGGTAGAAACAGGCTAGTTGGTCAGGTGTTAGCTGCACCTGCTCCAGTCCCCCTAGGTCTTATAAGTGGTGAGATCTGGACTCTGTAGCTTCATCTTGGAGATTTTCCAGGTGTCTCAGGGCAATGCAACTGGGAACATTTCCTTCCTCAAGATACTGTTCCAGTGTGGCCCGAAGCACACTTTCAGGCGGGGAATAGTTTGTTTCATCATGTGGTGTCACACTCCCACATATAGGAGTGTGGTCTGTCTGTGGGTCAAGGATCGTGGTGCTGCTGAGGTGGCTGAGTGGTGCCTGTCCTCTTCTGCCTCTGAGAATCCCAAACTTGAGCTGCAGCATAACAGTCCCGGAACATGGTAGCATTTCCCCACACTACGGACTCCCTTCTCTCTTCCTCCCTAGGAAGGACATCTTAAATAGTTTTGGCCTCTGCTGGTTCCCTTCCACCTTGGGCCCTGTTTGTGGGCCTCATTCAGTTCAGTTTTGAGATTGACCAAACTATCTGTCTGGCAGGCCTCAGTTGCTAGTGCAGGAAGTAGAATGACCCCCCCCCAAGGCTGTGTTTGCTCTCTTTTTGCTATCTTTCTATTAGTAATCTGTTATTTCTGGCTTCCAAGGGACATAGGGCCATTTATACAATGCGTGGGATCTCCAGCCTTAAAGTTCTGTAGCCTTTGAGGACCCACTATTTCCAGCTGACCCTTCGAGTACTGTACCTAGTTTTTTACCAAGGTCCCAGCTTTTATGTCAGCGTCACCTACCAGAGGAACAGTGTCTCCTCCCCCATCATGCATTATGCAATGCCTCTTGAGTTGTAGTCGCTGAGGTCAGTGAGGTAGGACAATGCTGGTATGCTGTGTGATCTGCAAGTTCATGCCAGAGCTGGAGCCAGAATAGACTGTTGCCAGAAACCCTAGCTGCAAACCATGGCTTTACTTTTACCAATCCTGTCAGACTAGAAAATCATACTACTCGCTCCATTTATTTCCTCAACTGTGATGTCATGTTAGCAGCACCTAACCCATTTAAGGTATACAAGAATAGTAATATCCTTAGCGAAGCTTGAGCCTCTGTGCAAACGTGACTGTATACAGGGCTGGCTGTCCCTGATCTAGCTGATCTTCTACTACAGTAGTGACATGCTACTGTACTGACTGTAATATAGTCCCAGTTCTACATTGCATGTGTGTCCCTTGCCACTTGGGTTTCTTCTAATTTGGCAAATTGAGCTGGCTCATAAACGCCCATGTTTGTGGCCCTAAGCCCTAAAATGTTGATGGCCTTCAACATTTTAAAGAAAGATAGCCGAAGAGCAAAGGACATAGGACCTGGCATAATGCCCCTGCACAAGAACAATGGCTGGGTCCCTATTCCCTGACCTTCCTCCTCAGTCCCTGGGCCTCCATAGCTCGTCTCCATTTCTGGGTGAACAGTCTGGGGTGGGGCCAGGGTATTCTCTTCAAGTGGTGAATGCTTTTCAACCTTAGAAAACAAAGCATCCCGAGACAGTTAGAAACACCCCACAGGACAGAGGCAACTGAACTCACAGGCCTTCAGCTGGTTGCTGGCTGTAAGCATGGCATGCCTGCTTATACACCCCCCCCCCTTTGTGTTACTTAGGCAGCTGCCCCAGCTTATGGACCTAAAGTTCTTCAGAAAGACGATGCATCTCTCCGCCCACATGTTGCCCCTTCAGTAAATCAATGAAGGCTTGACTCTCCCTTTGTTCAGAGAGCTGCACAAATCATAATGTCCTACCTATGTGTTCACATGTTTAGATACATCTCATTTCTATTGCTTTAATGTCAAAGGACCCTGTTTCTATTGCCATCCCAAGGATTCATGAGAGAACAGATTCCCCATCCCAAGCCTTACAAAGACTCAAGGGAGCTTTGGAAAGGTGTCCTACCTAACACTCTTGGCAGATGAACTTTCCCGTTGGTGACCTCCACTGTCTCTTCCCACAGTGTGTGTGTCCTATGTATTTACTGGCCTAGGCATCACGGCCGGGGCTCATCGCCTGTGGAGTCACCGAACTTACAAGGCTCGGCTGCCGCTGCGGCTCTTTCTCATCTTGGCCAACACTATGGCTTTCCAGGTGAGCATCTGGTCCTGCTCAGCTCTGTGTGTTACTTCTACTGACAATCCAGGGCAGACCAGTGGGAATCAGTGCCCTGAGAGGAATCAGCAAGGCAGCCACTGTGTCCCCCAAGTGTTCTGTGATCATCTAAAGTGTGCTTAGTTCTAAGGCTCACAGAACATCAGGTACTTGCCAGCGGGGGCAACTGGAGGAAAGGAAAGGGCCTCTAGTTTTCTCTTTCTGTTTCTTTCTTTTTTGTTTTTTTTTTAAGATTTATTTATTTATCATGTATACACTGTTCTATCTGTATGTATGCCCGCAGGGCAGGATAGGGCATCAGATCTCATTATAGATGGTTGTGAGCCACCATGTAATTGCTGGGAATTGAACTCAGGACCTCTGGAAGAGCTCTTAACCTCTGAGCCATCTCTCCAGCCCCAGGCCTCTAGCTCTTTTGCTTTCACACAGTGTGACCGATGTGGGCCTTCAGTAGAAAAGGCCATCCTATGGAAGCTCTGGACCTGGCTTCCTACACCGTCAACAAACATTCGCCTTACCCTTTGTGATGCTTGGCTTAGGTCCCACCAGGACGGGAATGAAATGAAGACTTGCAGACCCAAGGACCCCCTGTCAGACAGTAAATGCAAACATTTCTGATGGCAGTGACTCTGTGCCGGGCGCTGTGCTAGCATTTGGCATAGATGCACTCGTTAAGTCTTCAGGGTGTCTGAAGAGGTGGGTCATTACCCCTCGATTCAGATGATGACATTGTGTTAATAAGTACTTTCATAGACCAATGTTGGGATCCCAGCTGTGGCTGCCATGTTGGCTAAGTCAGCTACTGAGGCTATTTGAGGCATATATACGACACGGAAGGAAGGGAATTAGAGAAGGGAGCTTTACTGGTATTAGGTTAGAGCAACTGGCACCAGAGAGCTTGTCATCTGTGGGGGAGGGCATCGATGTGGGGTAAGAAGAAGAGAACAGGACACCAAATTAATTTTCTTGCATGGTAATACCGGCGGTTCCCAACCTGTGTGTATAATCATCTCTTCCCTGGCAGTTTACACCCTGAGCTCTTCTGCTGTCTGTAGGGGAAAGGGAAGAGGATGGTATTATTGGTGCATAATTAAAGGGTTAGGAAGAGCCCCACATAAGAGGTCCTTAGGAGATGTGCCCAAGCTCATAAGTTACATACTGGTTTTATTACTAGTTGAGTAACCTGTCATTGTGAAAGTATCAAAATAGAGCTTCCGCCATCCGTATTTGCAGACGACACTCCAGGCTGCTTCTGATTCCCCATCTCCAAGGACTAGGCCATTCACTGGGACCCTGTCCGACATTCTTTGCTTGAAGAACTGCTGTTCTTTTCTAACAAAATTGAGGGCTGTGATCCACCTGCCTCCTTCCTACTTCACAATCTCAGGAAGCAACAGTGCTGTTTGCTGACTCTGAGACTATAAATTGTTTTTCTGCATAAGCTTCAGGGGCAAGTGTGCTGGAGAGGGTGCTTGCCCCAGACCCCCTTAGTCCTGGGACTCTGTGAGTTGGACTGAGAGTTCCAGGCCCTGGCAGACACCTAGGCCCTTGCATTCCCCCAGAGGGCTTCTCTTCTCAATCCTGGGGTCCTCTTTCCTGTCCCTCCAGAATGACGTGTATGAATGGGCCCGAGACCACCGCACCCACCACAAGTTCTCAGAAACACACGCTGACCCTCACGATTCCCGGCGTGGCTTTTTCTTCTCTCACGTGGGCTGGCTGCTTGTGCGCAAACACCCGGCTGTCAAAGAGAAGGGCGGAAAACTGGACATGTCTGACCTAAAAGCTGATAAACTGGTCATGTTCCAGAGGCGGTGAGTCGGGGAGGGGGGGCGTGGGGCCTAGGACACCTGGGCTTTAGAGACCATGCCTTTATTCTTATATAATGTGTAAATAAAAGCTGAGAGATTGAATGTTTAAGACCAATTTTAATTGCTTAGGGGCCATAACGATACTTTACTATCTTGTTCAGTCCCTTGCCCTTTAAGCAATTTTCCTGAACACAATTAAATGCAATTTGATCTAACTATCACTGATCTAACTAGATAGGCATAGACACAAAAGTGAATGTAGCTGAGTCTTTCCCCTCAAGAAATTTCTAGGCTATTGAGATTGAAGACAAGGCAAGTATGAAATAATCACGATACAAGCAAAATATGCAGAATATTAATCCCAGCATTCGGGAGGCAGAGGCAGGGGGATCTCTGTGAGTTCAAGGACAGCCTTGTCTACAGAAAGAGTTCTATGACACCACGGCTACACAGAGAAACCCTGTCTTTGGGGGAAGGAACTTAAAGGTACAAGAACCCAGGCATCAGATCTCGGCTTGTTGTAGCTTGACCTGATTGGTTTGATGGTTTGACTAGTATAGTTTTGTGCTCCTGAGGAAAAGAATAATGGACTTCCTTCAGGAGGCAGGCAGTCCTATTCTTGACACACTGGCTTCTAGTGTTGTGACCCAAGGAAAGTCATTAAACGTGTCCACATCGCCTCATTTAAAAGTTTATATAAGACAATGTGTTCAACAGATTACCCACCCCATTCTCTCCTGATGGCTCTGCCCTTGCCCCTCCTCCATATCATAGTGGTAAGAGGAAAAGGACAGGTACACTGTAGGAGTGGATGCTTCCAGTGTAGGAGAGACCTCTCAGGGCTGGAGAGATGGCTCAGCGGTTAAGAGCACTGGCTGCTCTTCTGGAGGTCCTACATACATGCAGATAGAGCACATAAAATACACATGCATAAAATAAATATTTTTTTTTAAAAAAAGAGTGACCTCTCCACATTCAGTGTGCAATCTCTCCACGTAGGTACTACAAGCCCGGCATCCTGTTGATGTGTTTCATCCTGCCCATGCTGGTGCCCTGGTATTGCTGGGGTGAAACTTTTCTACACAGTTTGTATGTTGCCACGTTACTGAGATATGCCTGCGTGCTCAATGCCACCTGGATGGTGAACAGTGCTGCCCACCTTTATGGGTATCGCCCTTATGACAAGAACATTGGAGCCCGAGAGAATATGCTAACTTCAATGGGAGCTCTGGGTAAGTCAACTGTCTACAGTGTGACCACATCCATTAGTCTACTAGCTAAGATTTTCTGCTATCTGAAAGACCAGATAAAATCTGTTGTTTCTAAGTCAGGATCTTACTCTGTAATACTGGGCTGGCCTGGAACCCACTCTGTAGCCCAGGCTGACTTCAAAGTTGCAACAGTATCCCTGCCTCAGCCTCCAAAATGCTGGGATTGCAGATATGAGCCATCACAGGTGGCTCCTAAATTTGTTTTTAGTGATAATTTGTGTCTCAGTTCTTGTATCTAAAACTGGAGTTTATTAGCTGAGTACAAAGCCAGTCTGGTCTACATAGGAAGTTGCAGGCCAGTCAGGGTTACCTAGTGAGACCCTGTCTCAAAAATAAAGAATAACAAAAGGCTAGGTATTATATAGAAACCATATGAAAGTCAGGTTTCCAAATGCCATGTGAATCAAGTCACTTCTAGGAGAGGGGTTGAGGTTTCTCTGTATTGCTTTTGGAGCTTGTCCTGGTAGACCAGGCTGTCCTCGAACTCACGAAGATCCACCTGCCTCTGCCTTCCGAGTGCTGGGATTTAAAGGCATGCACCACTAACACCTGGTGAATTGACTCACTTTTTAAACAGGGTCTCACTATGTAACCCTGGCTGTCCTAGAATTTGCTATATAGACCAAACTGGCCTTGAATTCACAGAGATTCACTTGTGTCAGCCTCCCAAGAGCTGGGATTAAAGGTGTGAGCCACTACACCCAGCCTACATTAAGCCCTTTTTAAATTTGTCACCCTCCTGTCACCTCTGGTTGGCTAGGATCTCACTTGGTCTAGAAAGAACAGCACGGTCAATAGGGTAGACAGTAAAGCCCTGTGGTTTGCATTTAATCATGCCATGTAAAATGCAGTGAGTCATTCTGACTTAGTTCACTCGGCTTCAAGTGCACCGTTCTGATTATATTTTCACCTAGTTTTCTAAACAGGTACCTTCTACCTCTGAACACGCTCTTACTCTGACCCACCTGAAATAGACTGCTTTCACTCTACAATTACTAGATTTTCACAGAATAATGTGGCCTGAGATGTGTTTTGGTTTGTAACTGGATATGAGATGAGCGTCTTCCATTTGTGTCCTCATGACTGGCTAGCCAGAGTGGCTGCCAACCTTTTTCTTTATCCCATCATCATGTCCTATCTATTTTCTCTTTTGTTTGCTTACCTCACCCAGGATCTTCTCCAGCTGTTTCCTGCCATGATAGGTTTTTTTTGGGGGGGGGCGGGGGGCTTGAATTACCTACCCCACTGTCATATGCTCAAGTTATCTGAGAAAGTTGATCTCTGAAGATTTCTTTTTTGATGTCCCAGTTGATACACATAAACTTTGCCTCATCCTGTTTTAAATCTAACACTCAGAGTTACAGTCCTTTGTTAGCAACATTAGCCATGGGCTCTTCCACCCTGTGTCAAGTCTACGCTGTGGAGAATCTGGCGTGCAGATAGGATCATAACCATCAGGAGCCCTGATTAGAGTGTTTCTGTATCCAAAATCCCTTTATCTGCTTATTTTTCATATCACCCCTAATCTATCTGGAGATAATCAATTTCCAACTCTCTTAGTTGTTCTTTATGCTAACTTGATGATGTCAGTGGAAATCAGTCAGATTTACCACAGTAATTATCCTGAATCTAAAAATGTGTACTTTCTTTTCAAAGTGAATATGCCTCTCAAGAGTTCCCAGAATATCCATGGTTAGAAGGACTCTCTAAGCATTTTCAGGGTGATGAGAGCAGCCCCTGGGAACTGCCTGGAGCCTGGGGAACCCTGGTCCTTGGCCTCCCTTCCTTTGACCTTTGGCTGCTGTTGCCCTGCTGTGGGAGCATCCCACACTTAACAGGAAACACAATAGCATGGGAAGCATGAGCTTGCTTAGTTTTGATACATATCATCCCCTCCCCACCAGACCACATGCCTACAGACACAGAGCCCATGGGGTCTTGGGTCAGTATTCAAGTTTGCTCTGGCTTTTTCCAAGGTGAGTCACTTTCCCAATAGAATCGGCTTCCTTCATCCAGTTATCACAAGAGAAACATCCTTCCCCCAAAACCCTATATACCATCAGTGAGATCCTGTCATATATTTAAGATGCCTCTGGGCTCACTTTATTTCCTCCAGGTAGAAGACACCAGGGTCATCTGTTTAGTTAATGGCAGCATAGTTCTCTGAGGTTCAAGGTACTTTCTAGGTTAGAGGTGCGCAAAGAGGAGGAGGCAGCAGTCACCGCGCCCCTAACGGCTCTCCTTGCTTCTGTTCTAGGCGAGGGCTTCCACAACTACCACCACGCCTTCCCCTATGACTACTCCGCCAGTGAGTACCGCTGGCACATCAACTTCACCACGTTCTTCATCGACTGCATGGCTGCCCTAGGCCTGGCTTATGACCGGAAGAGAGTATCTAAGGCTGCTGTCATGGCCAGGATTAAAAGGACTGGAGATGGGAGCTGCAAGAGTGGCTGAGTTCCTGGTACAAATGTCACCTGGGCAGAAGTTCAGTGTTCTGCTAATAACTATAAAGTAATATTACCAGGATGCTAAAGATGACCTTGATCTACCTGGGAGCTCGTGCCTGTAATCTCAGCACTCAGGAGGCAGAGGCAAGTGGATCTTAGTGAGTTCAAGAACAGCTTGGTTTACAGAGTGAGTTGCAAGACTGCCAGAGCTACACAGAGAAACCTTATCTCAGCTGTCCTGGAATTCACACTGTAGAACAAGTTGGCCTTGAACTCAGAGATCACCTGCCTCTGCCTCTCAAGTGCTGAGACTAAAGGTGTGCACCATGCCAGCACAGCCCTGCTGTGTACAACACTCATACGCTCAAGTATCAAAAGGCAATACCTTTTCTTTATGATGCCAAGCTGATACACTTTTCGCCTATCCTTTCTCTGAATCTCCCTCATCTCTAACAGTGTCATTCATAAGTCCTTTCTCGTCTAGCATCCTTTTTATAGTCCAGTGGTAAAGTCTTTGTCTTAGAAAACCCTCACTGAAGTGCCCTGTACTTCAAGGTAGGCACAATAATCGAAGAGATGCAACAAAGTCTAGGTAGGATGTCTTAACTGTCGTGAACTTATGGTCTGCTAAATGGGAGAGCATAAAAACTTTATTTGACAGCTTGCAAAGCAGGCAGATTATAATGGGAAAGTGTTACTATGCCAGGTATGATTCTTAAGGAGGGATGGACTTACATGAAATGAATTATAAGGAAGTCTTTCTGTGACCAGACTCAGGTGCTTCTCAAGCAGAGATGGAGGGAGGGCATGCACACATGAGCGGGGAAGACCTCGTGCACGTGCACGTGCACACACACACACACACACACATACACACACACACACAGAGCGTTCTTCCTTTCTGTCCTGAGCCCAGAGCTTTGCAGTGTCAGAACAACTGCAAATCTGATATCTAAATATTCTTTAGAGTAAGGATCTAAAACAACTGTTTATGTAGGAAGTGGTCTCAGCTGGGAAAGGAGTTTGCTTTTCTGTTACAACAGGATCTCTTGTTTCATAGAACAAGAGGTATTCAGGTAGGGTGTGTCCAGAATGGGTGAGTAAGACATTCTTAGAGTTTTGAACAGTCCATGAGACACTGCTCGTCCAACTTCCTTCATTCTCTGCTCTGCCATCTTTAGGATACTGGATTGTCTCTAATGGTAGGGTTTGTAAACTCCCTAAGCAAGAAAGGAGTAGAAAGTAGAGATGGGCTGACAGGAACAGGTAGTTACCTAATTATTTGATTGTGAGTCTGAGTTTCTATCTTCAAAAGAGGTTCATAAGGAGATGCAGAGTAGATACCAGAGGGGGATGTCCGGGTCACCTGTTCCTTCCATTTCAAGGCAGTGATGGAGAGGATGAGGGGCAGTGTGGGAAGACAGTTTCTCAGAAGTAATTTCCTGGAAGGAGGTTCTACAAGATACCCAGGGGACAGTCAGCTTCCTAAGCAACTGAAACAGTTTCAACGCCCAGTCCCTTTGTTAACCCAAATTGCTCTTGGATTGATAAAACCTAGGCCTCTGTCTGCAGTGTTAGGTCTCTTCCCCACATTCCTTGCACTGAACCGTCGGCCCTGCAGTAGGAACCTCTGACTCATAGTGGTCTGCCTTCCTGGCTGTACTCTACCTTTCTCTGTCCTCCTGCTGGTCTGTTCTGTTCCTGGGCTTTTCTCCTCTTCCTGAATAGGAAGCCTCCACTATGTGCTCAGGGCAGCCAGGGTCTGCATCCCCACAGCTCCCCTCCTGTAGACAGAACACCTTGTCTTCAGTAGAGCTGGTTGTCTCCTTCCCAGGCCTTCAGACCCTCTCCACATCCACCTCTGGGGCTTCTAGCACCTTGATAACCCCAGACAAACTCTTGTCTACAAAACAGTTTCAGAGATATTGCTAGCCCAGACAATTTCTCTCTCATAAGTTGTGACCAATCCAGATGCTGATGAGTAGCTCTGAGCTGGCCAGGGAGCAGGCACTTGGAAGATAGCAAGAACATCCTTGGCTTTGGTATGACATTCTGTTCTCTGTACACTCTTCTCCCCAGCCCAGATGTTCTTTCTTCTTGAAACTCCTGCAGGAGGGCTACAGGGTCGAGGCCAGCCTCAACTCCATAATGAGACCCTGCATTAAAATTAAAACAGAAGGAAGGGCAAACATATAATGAAAGAAAATGTGTGCAAACCCAGTATCTTATAGGATGAGGCCTCAGAATACAAAAAGAACTCTTACACCTCAGCAATAAAATAGTCCAGTTCTAAACCAGTAAAAGTGTTGGAGCTCACATTTCTGCAAAGCAGAAACAGATATAGCCAATAATTACTAGAAAGGAGCTCTATATCAGTACCCACCCAGGTAATTCGGAGACACCCACTAAAATGGCTGTAACTATAATGCTTTAAAAAAAAATCCCAGCACTCAGGAGCCAGAGGCAGAGGCAGGCAGATCTCTGTGAGTTTGAGGCCAGCTTGGTCTGTAGAGCTAGTTCTAGGACAAGCTCCAAAGCTACACAGAGAAATCCTCTCTCAAAAAAAAAAAAAAACCCAAACCAAACAAAAAACCCCAGCAAAAACAAATGTTGCTAAGGCTATAGTAAAATTGGAACCCATTGATGAGAGGCATCTTAGATGGCGTACTGCTTTGAGAAACACACTGGCCATTCTTCAGCAAGTCAAAATGTCAACTACCATGTAATTCCACTCTTTGGTGTACCCAAGAGAAAGAAAACATACGTCCACAAAAACGCCATGTACATAAATGTCCACTGCTGCACTATGGAAAAGCCCGGCACAAAAAAACAACACAAATATCCCCACAAAACTGAATAAACAATGTAACACATTCATACGCTGGCATTTTATTCCGCTATAGAAAAGAATGAAGTCTTGACATATGACATGACGTAGCTGGACCAGACAAACACCATTCTGAGGCCAGAAGAAAGACACAAAAGCCCGTATATTGTATAAGTCCTTTTATATGAAATGCGCTCAATTCACAAATCAAGAGTTAGTTAATAGACTGAAAGTCGCCATGGGCGACTATAGGGGGAAAAAGGAAGTGGCTGTTAGTAGGCATTGTTTTATGAGAACTGATGAAACTGTTAAAAAGCTAAATCACTGTAGTGGCTGCCAAGCTTACTCACAGGGCCTGCACGAGGAAAAAATGTCTTGTACTTTTGTTGTCATTACCGTAATTTGTAGTTGAAACTCAAACCTAAATAAATTAATGAAGCGTCAGTTAAGTTCAAGTGTTTCATTAAGAGATGCGCGCTGTATTCTCACCACTGTAAGAGTGAGTTCTTCAGTCCCAGACTCTACAGGGAATCACACCAGAGAAGCAAGTCTCCTCACATCTAATTACAGTGGTCGGAAGACATTCAGAGTCCACCTTCAACGTCAGCTAAAAGGCTCAGGCACCGCAAACGCGCTAATTGCAGTTCCTTAGGAGCAGGAAACTCACATTTGGAGTCCGCTAGATGGAAGACATGGTCGAAACAGCCATGGCAGTTTTTCTGGTGGGATGCTGCAGGCTAGATGAGTACCATCTCACAGCATCAGCAGCAAGTGCTGTGACTGCCTAACGTTGACTCCTAAGGCGGCTGTGTGTGTGTGTGTGTGTGTGTGTGTGTGTGTGTGTGTGTGTGTTTGTATGTGTCGGGCCCCCTCGGGGTCCAGAGAGAGGCAGTGAGAGAGTGGAGGAAGGACTGCAGTGTGTCTCTAGATCTCTAAAAGTGCAGCGTTGCTTCCTAGCTAACCCGGACATGGAACAAAGGGCACCCTGGACTCCCCTGCTTCACAGGATACGGTGTCCTAGTGAGGGTTTCTATTGCTGCTGTGAAATATGACCAAAAAGCAAACTGCAGAGGAAGGGTTTTATTTGGCTTACACTTCCACAGCATAGTCCATCACTGGAGAAAGTCTGGACAGGACTCAAACAGAGCAGGAACCTGGGGGCAGGAACTGATGCAGAGGTCATGGAGGGGCGCTGCTTACTGGCTTGCTCCCCATGGCTTGCTCAACCTGCTTTCTTCTAGAATCTAGATCCACCAGCCCAGGGATGGTCCCACCCACCATGGGCTAGGCTCTCACCCATCAATCACTAAGAAATGCTCTACAGGCTTGCTCACAGCCCCATTTTTTATTTTTAACATGTATTCTTTTATATATAAGTGCCCTGTCTGCATGTGTGCATGTACACACGCCAGAAGAGGGCATCAGATTCTATTACAGATGGTTATGAGCCACTATGTGGTTGGCTGGAATTGAACTCAGGATCTCTGCAAGAACAGTCAGTGCTCTTAACCACTGAGCCACCTCTCCAGCACTATAGCCCACTTATGGAGGCATTTTCTTAATTGAGGTTCCCTCCTCTCAGATTTTACCTTGTGTCAAGTTGACATAAAACTATCCAGCACACCCAGTTACATCCAAAGGCAAAGGCTGGTGACATGGCCCTCCTCTTAGGCTGGCAATGGCTGAATTTGTGCCCAGGACCCCAGCACAAGAGTCTGTAACAGCCCATCTTGACGTTCAATCACACCTGATTTCAAGCGCCATCCCCCCTCAAACCACAGAAGCTAAGCTGACATTGTTCAGTTCTGGGATCCTCACATGCATCTTAATCTATTGGAAATGTCTCTGTCAGTACTCGGTGAAGTGGAGCAGAGCTCTCGTGACTTCTTTATATTATGCTCCCATGACAAACTCTGGGAAATGCCACAGGGTCCTCTTCTACTACTGGTAGTTCAGTTTCTGGGGCACTAGCAAAAGGCTGATTCTTGAACACTGATCTTGGGGCAAATGTCATAGGCTCCAGGATCTAAAGAACTGAAACTCTATTCTGAGATTGCTAGAGGTGGTTGACCCCACCCCTCCCCTTCCACTGGGGATGCTCAGGTTCTCCAAGCCACAGAGAGCTCCTTAAGGAGCAGTGTGCACTGCACTGACTCATGTTGGCTGTGGGCCCAGGTGCCGGCCTGGTCAGAAGGAACAAACAGGCCCTTTCCCTCTGGACCATGTCTCATACAAGCGCAGTGAGTAGCCCAGGCCAGGCAGCAACAAACACTGTAAGCACTGAGAAAGGAGGGAAAGGAAGACAGGGAATAGAAAAGCTAACTTTGTTTATTTCACATATTTCCACACTCTTAACTGAAGTGGAATTTCACAATATAGAAGCAATCCAAAGTGAGAATTCGATGCACTTCGTACGTCCACAACAGAGTCCAGTCACCATTTTTCTAAAACATTTTCATTACCCAAAAACTCTTAATAACCATTTGCCAACAACACCTAATCTCATCACGCACAAGCCAACCTCTTCCCACCGCTAGCAACAATGAATGTGCTGTCTGTGTGAATGTGCCTGCCTTATACTTCATAGAAATGGAATCAGACGATGTATAATCCCATCTTCTGTCCTACCCCCTGCACCTTGCTTTGGGCAATCACCCACTGTGCAGCATAAACCAGGAAGGTCAGGTTCAAAAGGAAACTTAGGACAAATGGCTACCTAACTGTAATGTGTGCCTAT